CTCTGTAAACCGCTTAGAGACGGCTGAAAGCCCTATGAAGCGGTATATAAGTCTAACTGCTATTGCTATTGCTACTTCTGGGACTCCCATTTTTCGCCCTCCCAGAGCCTCTGCATGGGCCCTGCACTTGCCTGGCATCCAAAACGGGCCATGTGGAGACTCCTGGAAGAGGCAGGGTGGGGTGAGTGGGGCCAGCCAGTCCTTACAACTACCAGTTCAGCGAACCAGATGTAAAATTAGCATCCAGTTCATCCAAAGTAGCCCGAACCAGCTGAATCCCACCCGACTGACACACACACACACACACACACACACACACACACACACTCACTCTTTAACCATGTGATGCTGAGCTCAAATCCAAAGACAACTCCAGATGAGGGATGTCTTCTCCCGTTGTCTTTGTTATCTCTTCCAAATAGTCAGATGGGAAGCACAGCCTGGAGTACTCGGTCTTGAATTGTACAGTTATATTCAAAGAGTCTTGGAAGTCTGAAAGTATTTCACCTGTTCTTTTATTATCCAAAAACAAAAACTAGGCAGGGTCCCTTCTGAAAGACTTCCCATGTCCTCCAGGGGTGGCATTCCATTCAGCCGGTTCGGATCGGTTCGGGTGAACCGGATGCTAATTTTACATCTGTTTCACCGAACCGATAGTTGCAAGGACAGGCTGGCCTTACCCACCCCGCTCTGCCCCTCCCAGGAGTCTCCATGCAGCCCATTTTGGATGCCAGGTAAGTGCAAAGCCCACGTGGAGGCTCCGGAAGAGCGAAAAACGGGCCTCCCGGAAGTTCTGCAAGTCCGGAAACGGGCCCATTTTTTGGACTTCCAGAACTTCCAGGAGGCCCGTTTCAGACTTCCGGACTTCTAGAATTCTCCGGAGGGCCTCCAGAGCCTGGGTAAGGCTGTTTTCGCCCTCCCAGAGGCAGTGGGTCCTTTAACAACTAAGTTGGGGTAGAACTGACTGAAAAAATGCCTTGCTTAGCAATGGAAATGTTGGGAATAATTGTGGTCATAACTCGAGGACTACCTGCATTTTCATTTTCTCTCAGAACCTTTTCCTAACAGCGTCCCTTGAAACAATCTCATCTAAAAACTATCCGGAGAGATAAAACGACCACAAACGGTCACCAAAGACAAGTCAAAACGACACTTACTACGTTCCCCTGCTTCACACAGTAGCCGCTCTTGAGGACTAGCGGTCCCACTGGGGTTTTGGTAGCGGGGTTATAACTCTGGGACCGCTTCAACAAAGGGTGAGACGAAAGCTCGTGGCCTTCAGAGCCATCTCCTCCATTCTGTGAGAGGGGAAAAGGAAAAGGGAAGAAAAGTTCCACTTAGATTTAGAGCACCCATGAAAATTTGGTATGCAAAATGAAGCAGTAAAAAGAGACTAGCAGAAATTGGGCAATTTCCAAAAAATATAGTTGCATCACTGCCTAAACTCCTATATTTGCGGTACGAGAACTCTCTTTTTTGGTGGGGGAGGGGCAGAGTGTTTTCAAAGAAAGTTTAACCAAACTTTTATTGCATAGGTAAAGGTAAAGGCTCCCCTGGCACAAATGTGCTAGTCATTTCTGTCTCTAGGGGGCGGTGCTCATCTCCGTTTCAAAGCCAAAGACATTTCCGTAGTCATGTGGCTGGCATGACTAAACACTGAAGGTGCAAGGAATGCTGCTACCTTCCCATCAAAGGTGGTTCCTATTTTTCTACCTGCATTTTTTACATGCTTTCGAACTGCTAGGTTGGCAGAAGCTGGGACAGGTAACAGGAGCTCACTCTGTTACGCAGCACTAGGGATTTGAACCGCTGAACTGCCGACCTTTCTGATTGACGAGCTCAGTGTCTTAGCCCCTGAGCCACCTTTATTGCATATTTCTCCGTATTTCACAGTGTGAAGCAGCAGCCAAAAAAGCCAATGCAATCCTAAGTTTCATTAAGAGAGGGATTCAATCAAGATCAAGGGAGGTACTAATACCACTCTATAAAACCTAAGTAAGGCCACACCTAGAATACTGCATCCAGTTTTGGTCACCACATTATGAAA